ACCAACCAACCCAAAGGCAAACAACGGTGCTTCGCTTTGCGGCTGCCGTTAGCTCAAGTGGTACCTCTATACAGACGTTCATAACAGAAACGCAACTCCAACTCTAACCGTGGTCTCCCTTGCAGCTCTCAAACCTTGCAACTCTATGGCAGTTTTCACCATTATTTCACCCACAGCTCCAACTGCACCTTCTCTAAGCACAGGACCTCCACCTTGCAGAAACAAAACTCAACCTCAGATGATTATTTTCTTTTGTGGTCAACAGGTGTCCCAGAAAGACCCCCAGATCCCAGCCATATATCCTCTTTAAAGGCATGAAGCCTCCTTTGAAAGGCTTTGTTGCTGTTTTCAGAGCTGCTGCCAGCCCAAGCTCGGCTAGCAGCAGGGAACTCTTACCTGCTTGTTGGCCAGAACCACCACTGGCAGGGTGGAGTTGTTCTGGATCAGCTGATGAAGCAGCTGTTTCGCCACAGGCAGTCGGGCATGATCAGCCGAGTCCACCACGTAGATTAGCAACAGCACTTTGGGCAGGTACATCTTCCAGTATGAACGCAGAGATTCATTGCCTCCGACTGGAAGAGAAGACAGCAGCACAGGATTCACCAAGTAATCCAAGCAGCACCGCTCCCAGAGGCGCAGACGTATTTGCATTACCAAAACCTCTAACTATTTGGGCTACTGTATATGAGGCTGGGAACAGCTTTATTTTCCCCAGTCAAGTCCCATGCAGGCATACGTGTATGCTTGGGGGGGTGTGGGGGGGGAATCTTTCCATTTTAAGCTCTTATTTTGAGAGGCTTCTGTGTTCGGTTTCTTTACGGTTACTTTCTGCCTTGTTGGTTCTTGCTTTCAAGCAAGTAAGAACACAGAAAGAGGTTCAGTGTCCCTAAACACCATGTGAGAGTGTCCCCATATAACCCATCTCCACATGCCCATCTCATCTTAAGACAAAGCAGGCCTACAATTTCCAAAGACAAAATTTAGCTCTGAGGTAGGGAGAGCTCTCATCAGACTTGTATGACACTAGGGATTAGTTCAAAACTCCCACAGCTTTCATACTGTCAGTAACCAGAGCTGCTTAGGAAGAGAAAAATCAAGCCCTAGCAGACAGGCAATCCTTGGGAGAAATCTTTGCACAGGACACATTTGTACCTAAGCTCTTCTCTGCTGGACACAGAGGAAAACTGTTCATCTTCAAAACCAGGCCCTACAACAATTCTGTGGTGAAACCATATGCAGCAAGTTGCTCGAGACTGTTGTTCCCATCTGGGGACAAAAAGATTTTGGTAGTTTGCAGAGTTTAACAGGAGCAGGAATAGCTAACAGTGTATTAAGTATTTCAGATGTGCTTTCAGCTCTCCAGGTCTTCTCCTAGGTACACTGCAGAACCACTTGCTCGAGAGTAGTGAGGTACTCAAAAGGCATGGGCAAGTCTCCCAGAAGCAGCAAGTTTTCAAAGCGATACATCGGGGCTTCCCTATAACTATCTCCTGCCTCCTTATACAGGAGCTCCTTTCAAAACTGACATGCTAGTCAGCCATCTTGTACTGCCCTCTGCTCTGTTTCAAAGCAATTTTGCTTTCACTTAAGTCAAAACGATTCAGTGGTTTCAAGAACGTAGAAAGGGAAGCAACATTTCCCACTAGGGCATGCCTGTCTCTTCTTCAAGAGCCCCAGAGTACCTGCAGGCAGAACTGCAAGTCTGCAACTGTGGAAAGGAGCCAAAGGGCTGTGACTGACATGTCACGCTTGGGACAGATGCCTCTGATACTGTACTGTGACTTTTGGGGGCTCACCACTGTTCCCTCTGTTAAGTGCATTCATGCATAGCATAACCCAGGGGTCAGCAACCTCATGGAGAACTTTTTTTTTTTTTCCCCAAACCAGAAGGAACTCAGCAGAAGCCAGGAGCTCCTGTCCCTTGCAGAGGCAAGATACCACCCACTTATCTATATGATGGTACAAAAAAAAAGATTGAACGGTTTTCTATCTAAGCCAGCAAAAAAAAAACCCTGCTGTCTGCTGATCATCTTGTGCTGCGTGACACAGCATAGGCTGCTAACCCCTGGACTAGGCGATGGTACAGACTGGATAAGTAACCAGATTAGAGAGCCATGCACGGATTTACCTGGCTGAAACTGGCCTGAGACATTTCATTTCCCATGGGTCAGATCGCAGCCATCACATCTCAGTCACTACCAACCTGGACCAGAGAGGGAAGGATGACTCAGAAACAACAGGTTCTGCCATGGGGTGCGCAGCGCTGGGCCCAGGCCACCCCCGGGCAGGAGCAGCGATACTGCGGGTTTCTCTGGGCTCAGATACAGAAAGCACCTCCCAGTAGGAGACACAGGTGTCTCATACCTACCAGGAGAGGGGCACAGACTACAAGCATCTCTAGAGTTGATTTCCCTAAGACACCACAGAGAGTCCTATGGTTAGTAGGTCTGGGAATGAAACTCTGCCTTAGCAGCCCCATCCTCATATCCCAAAGACTTACCTGGGAACAGCACAGCTCCTTTAGGCCTGCTGACAAAGGTACGGAGACAACTATGGGCTAGCTGCCAACTGAGCCAGTCGAGCGCTGGTACAGCACAGTGCAGAAACAGCAGGAAGCAAAGGGCAGGTTCTGCCTCAGCAGAAGGCAGGCACCGATGAGGCTAGGATGTCAGCCTCTCTGTACCAGGGACTGACCTGACTCCAGGGCCTCTACCTTCCGCAACAGCTAGCTGCACCTAGAACAGCTGTTGACAACCCAAAAGCATCACAGGAGATGCTCTCTGCAGGCATGGACAATACCCAAAAATCAGTGTTAAGGACAACACAGAAAGTTTAGTGAAAGCCTACATATATTCAAAAGCTGTCAAAGACTAGAAAACATCACTTATGAGGCTTTTGAACCAAAAGCATATAAAACTTTTCTCTTCCTCCTCTCTTCTTTCACCTTATTTTTTGTTCCTCTTCTGTTCTTGCCCTTTGCCAGGCATGAGCAGCAAGAAGCTGCACAATGCACAACAGCTATGGACCACAACACAGGGCTTAATGGGGACACCCCTGCTTTGTGCTGGTTTCAGGCAATCAAGCTTGTTACCCTTCTCTCTCTGGGAGCAGAACTCCCTGTAGAACTGGGCTGAATGAACGCAGACCTCCTCTAACACCAGTGTATCACCTCTTTCAAGAAGCGGGGTGGGAAAGCAAAATCCCCAAGGAGAAAATAATCACAACTTCGCATTACCAGAGCAGGCAGGAGGGAATATGGAGGTTTTAAAAAATAGGCCTGATTCCTAGAACATAGGATAGGAACTTATTTTCTGTTCTGTACTAAAACAGGTTCACTCACTCTCCAGGAACTCCATCTGGGCCTCTTCAGTGTTGACGCAGATGGCATTGAAGCCCTCGGTGGGAGCCACGCTGCGCTTGACATGGTTAGTTGCCAGGCAGTGGAGAACACTGGTCTTCCCAGCCCCATCCAGGCCCAGTACCAGTATCTGCTTGCTGTGTCCTTTACCCTGCAAAGCGAGGGGTGGCACGCTTAGCCAGGCAGCCGGGACATGTGCAAAGCTTAGCAGGCCAGGGGGGAAAAAGGAGGCCTAACAAGGGGTCTGGAGGGAACAGCAAAAGCCACTTCACGGTGAAGAGGGAGAAGATGCCAGCTGGGCTCCTGGCCGCAGCGTAGGCGAGGCGGTGGGAAGCCGGGGACACCC